GTGAGGGTAAGTCATATGGACTTTTAATGAATCCCTAACCTTGTAAAGGTGGAGTAAGACAGGATACTCTTGATAGGAAGGTCACCTATATAAGTGTGAAGTGTGGGCCGCTTCAAATGTAAACACTTATGAATCAATTGTGTTGTCCATGGCCAAAACGGACACAACGATAGAACGGAATGGAGTTAAGATTCTGTTGTGTGAACGTCATTGTCTCGGTGTACACTATGGAGGAATAGTTCAAGGCATTATGTCCACTAAGCCGCCAGTGCATCCGATGATGTTTACTAAGAAAGGTTCAAAACCAAAAGTTACCTTTTCTGATGCAATAGAATTTTGTGAGGATTGAGCACAAGAGTCTGTATATATGTGTATTTCTTTACTTTCTCTTTTGTGGGGGATTGTCAGAAAAATTATATATAATAATGGGGACGGTGCCGCCCCAATTGCACCGCCCCCAATTTGCCCAATTGTCCATTTGTTTAAAAAAAAATATTAAAATATTACAACTTGTATTGCAATTAGGTGGAATGATTCCTTTCATTCAACTATAAAAAGGCCATTCGGCCAGAAGGAAAATTGCACCAATTAGTGAAATAAAGAGAGGAGAAAGGAAAAGAGAAAGGAAAGAAAGATAGATATATGTCCAAATATCAGACATAAAAATATCAAAAGAGGAGAAACAAGTGATATTTTTATTTGTTTTATGATATATATTTTTATTTTTAGTGCTCAATTCTCAACTCCGTTAAAGTTCGCCGGAGCTCGTAAATCTGGTGTGCTACAGATTTAGAGACGTTTGCCGTTGTATCTTTGGAGAAGTTACGCCTGAACCGTTAGCTGACACACGGGGCGTATTCTTCTTGCGGAAAGAGTTTTACTCGCCTCGGCTAAAATCTTTCCGTTTTTCAGTTGTATTTTATTTTTCAGTTCAATTGTAATTTTCTATTTTTAGATTATTTGTAAGAACTGAAAATACACATCAGTTCGTAGGATTCCCGTGTAATTTTGACACCAAATATCCAACATTGCTGACCGTCCTCCTTCTAGTTCCATTCATTTGATGGTGGGTCGTCAACGGTTACGAATATTTTGTTTAGGGCGGTTTAATCGGGGGGTTGCGAAAATTATGTAAAGCGAGACACAAATTATGTTGATAAGCCGTGACGATCGGAAAGGGAGAGGGGGGCATTTTTCCTTTGGGATTTTATTAGGAATAATGCATGAGAATTACAACTGAATATTTTGTATGTGATCTTCGAGAGATCATATGTAGTAATAGAATAGTAGTAATGATAATGCTGATATTTGAGGAGTTAGCCTAGGTTGACTTACGAGTGTTTAAGCTTAGCTTTGATTTCATTTTCCTTCTTCTAGGTTTGAGGAATTATATTTATAAACGGAAAATGTGTTTGTGCACGAAAAACGTCAACAACCAAAACGACAGAGTCACAAAAAAAAATCGATCGACCACTGACTGGAATCCATCCAGACCTTAAAAGTACAAGACTGGAATGCATCGATCGAGGTCTTACTAAAGGTTGAAACTCAAGCCCATACCATACCATAAAGTAAAAGACTAACAAAAATAGACATCAAACTCAATAGACTTTGTATCTTTCTCATCAGCCCTAAAAAAGAAAGAGCTGGAAAATAAATGAGGAGTACCAGCTATGGCCCATGGTGACGCCACGTGTTTCCATGCCAAAGTCGATGGGACATGTCCGTTGACGGTGCTACCAACTTTATCAGGTCATATTCAGACGATCAGGGTGATCGTCAGTCTTCCTCAAGAAGCTTATGCGGGTGATTGCCGGCTCGATCAACATCCTTAATGGTGATCACTTCGGCTAACTGTGAGGTGATTTTTGTATTATGTGCTCTGTTCGTCCACTTGGACTGAAATTAGTATATGGACCACGTCATTTATTTGTGATCGGTTATTTTGGGCGCTATAATACATTCTAACTTTAATCAAAATTAAAACTTATCTACCCAAAATATATATTTTATTATTTGTTACTTGTCATATGGATAAGACTGAGAATCTACCATGACATAGATACAAGACATGAAAGAAATATTTCAATTATAAA